CCCCCCACACACACACACACATGTACCTTAATCACCTTTCTTAACAAATACATGCTTGGTGCATAGTCTAAACAACAAATGGAATGATACAAAAAAATTAGTTCAATGATCATGATCAAAGTTAAATATCAACCACTCTATGGCACTGCTACTACATATATAACCCTACCTAGTGTAGATGGCATTCATATTACCTATGAATGACATGGCTCACTTGTTGACGTCATCCTTATATTAATGTGTCATCATAATTTAAATGTTGGATACCATTACCGATGACAACCCCCTAGAAGACGGCTGTTCTATTTATCAAGTTAGCACACACTAACACTTGTTTGAACGAGCTGTTGAAATTTTGGTACATAACATACCTGGTAAATATGTATGTTTGCTTGGTAACAATATGTATTAGAAATGGTACATTTATTGAACTGCTTTTCAGTTGGCATGGAATTAGTCATGTTCCAGTTGGCTTTCATATTGACAATGAATGCCAACTGAAAGCAGTTCAATGCTTAACAAATAATACTCTATGCGGCGATATGAAGAGATTCATTGATAATGGTGTAGAATTTTGTTTAAACTTTTGTGCCAACAAAGTACTCCAAACCAACTACCTACATAGCAGGTGCTCTCAGATAAACACTAGATCTGATACACTGTATTTTATACACTTGTACAAGTTTCTCTCCTGACCAGTCCTGGTGTACATGTGTCTGTTGGCCAAAAGGAGGAGTCGCTATAAATCAATCAAACTTGTATGGTTTCTCTCCGAACGAGCTCTGGTATGTCCCTGTTGGCTAATAAGCTGAATAGCTTGTATGGTTTCTCTTCTAACAAGCTCTGGTGTACAAGCTCATGTCTCTGTACTCCAATACGATGAGGCACTTGGCACTGGTAACCCTGTTACAACTAATCTGCTCACCGATATCCTAATTATTAGAAGTTTGACGAGTATTTTCGGACAACGACATTTATTTCAACACATTTTTTTTTATATTAGAACAACTTTTATATCCAGACTGTCGCCGTTATATTAGATGTGCCTTTTTTATATTTGATGTGAGCCATAAATCTAGGATATGTGACATGCTGACACGAACTAACGAATACATGATTGAATTCAGGGGTTACCAGTGTGGTCTAGATCTAACGAGCTCTGGTGTGTCTCTGTTGGCTAATAAGCTGAAACTCTTAATCAATCAAACTTATATTGTTTCTTCTCCATGTTCCGATGTGAATGTGACGACCATAGATTAGACAGGAAATTTATCAACCCCATATAAAAAATCACACTTGTATGGTGCTTCAGGTGTATGAGTCCTGATGTGTTTGTGGAGGCCAGAAGATGAACAAAATTTCTTATCACAGACCTCACAATTGTAGGGCTTCTCTCCTGTGTGTGTCCTCTGGTGGATCTTCAGGTCGTTGGTCTGCCTGAACTCCTTACCGCAGACGTCACACTTGTATGGCTTCTCTCCCGTGTGTGTGCGTATATGATTACTTAGATGTCCTGATTCACTGAAACTTTTGCCGCAGACATCACACTTGTGTGGCTTCTCCCCGGTGTGTGTCCTAAGATGTCTATGAAGGCTAGAAGAGGAACTAAACCCCTTACCACAGACAACACACTTGCAGGGCTTCTCCCCTGTGTGTGTCCTGAGGTGCATTTTAAGGTCGTTGGTCTGCGTAAACTCCTTACCACAGATATCACATTCGTATGGCTTCTCCCCTGTGTGTATCATGAGGTGTGATTGTAGGTTGGCCGATTGACCAAATGCCCTGCCACACACACCACACTTGTAAGGTCTTTCTCCAGTATGTGTTCTCATGTGTTTCTGTAGATTGGATGTGCGTCCAAAATTCTTGCCGCACACATCACATTTATGAGGCTTCTCTCCAGTGTGTGTCCTGAAGTGACTCTGCAAGGAAGTTGCCTGGCTGAATTCCTTATCACAGACATCACATTTGTATGGTTTCTCTCCTGTATGTGTCCTGAAATGTCTTTTTACATCAGATGTCCGACTGAACCCCCTACCACAAACATCACACTTGTATGGCTTTCGTTCAGCATGGGTTAGGGTGTGTTGATTTCCCCGAGATATGATATCTTGACCACGAACACCATTATACATGTATGGATTTGGATCCTGGCCTGAATGTGTCCTGGTGTGTACCTCTAGCTGAGAGGAGTCACTAAACTCTTTATCACAGACATCACACGTGTACATGTTGGGTTCCTGGCCTGTATGGGTCCTGGTGTGTACCTCTAGCTGAGAGGAGTCACTAAACTCTTTATCACAGACATCACACGTGTACATGTTGGGTTCCTGGCCTGTATGAGTCTTGGTGTGTACCTCTAGCTGAGAGGAGTCACTAAACTCTATATCACAGACATCACACGTGTACATGTTTGGTTCCTGGCCTGTATTTATCTACTGTCTGTGAGTATGTTTAGCAGCCAACAGTCAACACCTTTCCTATACCCACACCACACAAATGATTGCATTGGACCACAGACTTCTTCTACTTTGATGGTAAGTGTAGCTCCTAATGCTGAAACAAAAATAAAGAAAACATGTTAATTCAAATACAATATATATTAGAGAAACGAAGCAAACTAACAAAAATATATACAGTAAATCTCTGGTCAGTTCGAATAGGCAGATAGTTCGAACACACATTTTGAATAATAAAAATAATAATTTTATGACTAGGGTTAATTGGAACCCAGCTTATACACATGTTTTGGAATGTTCGAACACACAGTTTGAGTACTGAGGTTACGTAATTATTGATTAAGGTTAGCTATTCGCCAATGCAAAAACAGCCTCGCAATACTCGCTTTAACTGATCTATTTTTGAATCGACAGTGTTTAACTACTGAATAATGGTTAGTACTCATGAAGCGCGACCATTGTTGTCACCGATGTCGGACAATTTGTACATAAAAAAGCCACATGTTACCAAAGATAAGATAACATGTGCACGTGCCAGTCAAACATCTTCTGGTCCCGACCATGTATGATATCCTAACAGTATATGGAGCGCAGAATGTTACCATCACATCACTGACAGACACGTGCCAGTCAAACATCTTCTGGTCCCGACCATGTATGATATCCTAACAGTATATGGAGCGCGGAATGTTACCGTCACATCACTGACAGACACGCGCCAGTCAAACATCTTCTGGTCCCGACCATGTATGATATCCTAACAGTATATGGAGCGCAGAATGTTACCGTCACATCACTGACAGACACGCGCCAGTCAAACATCTGACCATGTATGATATCCTTACAGTACACGGAGCGCGGAATGTTACTGTCACATCACTGACAGACACGCGCCAGTCAAACATCTACTGGTCCCGACCATGTATGATATCCTAACAGTACACGGAGTGGGAATGTTACCATCACATCACTGACAGACACGCGCCAGTCAAACATCTTCTGGTCCAGACGATGTATGATATCCTAACAGTACACGGAGCGCGGAATGTTACCGTCACATCACTGACAGACACGTGTCAGTCAAACATCTTCTGGTCCCGACCATGTATGATATCCTAACAGTATATGGAGCGCGGAATGTTACCGTCACATCACTGACAGACACGCGCCAGTCAAACATCTTCTGGTCCAGACGATGTATGATATCCTAACAGTACACGGAGCGTGGAATGTTACTGTCACATCACTGACAGACACGTGTCAGTCAAACATCCTCTGGTCCCGACCATGTATGATATCCTAACAGTACACGGAGCGGGGAATGTTACCGTCACATCACTGACAGAGACCATGTATAATATCCTAACTGTACACGGAGCGCGGAATGTTACCGTCACATCACTGACAGACACGTGTGTATTGTCATAATATAACTGCTATTACAACTTCATTATATAATCGCTACCTGGTCATCGATCCTTTCTAGATTTATTACTTTATTGATATATTACCTGTACATGTGCCAAAACAAAACTATTTGACCAACTGAACTTCTGTCAATTCTCGAGAAAACATCTACTGCTTTGCGGCCTACATACTTGTCTCTGCTTTGCGATTGAACTTGATAATTGATTATCAATATGTAAGTAAAGATAAGAAAGATATATGTACCATTAGTCATCTCCAGATTTGCAAATATATTTAATAGGCCGACGTTAATCCGTATCAAAGTCTTTACTGTTTGCCATGATTTTTGCTGATGTCGAATCGGATAGTTCAAACTACTTTTTATTTGAGCGGCTATAATTTTGTGTCATTCAAACAGGATTGACAATATTTATTTAAATTTGTTCCATCTGACCAGAGGTTTACCGTACCCCTTGTGCTTATAATGATTCTGTAGCAGAAATTGAAGTTCCAGGACCTTACCTCCAGGACAAATAGTTGAATCACAAATTTCTTTCTTCATGCACATCTACATATGATGTACTTTCAATGTATCAAGTTACAAAATAATCCAACAAATTGTTAAGGAAGAGTTGCGCTTACAAGGTTTCTGGAGCAGGATATTTAAAGGGCAATAACTCCAGGAAAAATATTTGAATCACAAATTCCTTGCTTAATGTTAACCTCTTGAGAGATAGTGATAACAAACTAGACCTCTCAAAATCCAAGATGACTGTCTAACGACCATCTTGTTTTTTCCCGATCAGTCCCAAATTGAAGCATGCACATCTAGGGATCTAGGGAACAACCATATGAAATTTGAGAAAAATCTGTTTCGTGTTTCTTGAGATATATCGTTATCAATCTTGAAATCTCAAAATCAAAGATGGCTATCTGGCGGCCATTTTTTGTTTTTCTGATATGAAACGTTCATATGAAATTTGAGAAAGATCTGTTGAGTACTTCTTGAGGAATAGCAAAACAAGCTTTAATTCTCAAAACTCAAGATGGCTGCCTGGTGGCCATCTTGTTTTTAATATCAGTCTGAAAATGAAACATGTACAGTTACGGACCAAGGGCAACCTTCATATGAAGATTGAGAAAGACCTGGTATGTGCTGCTCGAGAAATATCGATATCGATTTCCAAGATGGCTGCCTTAAGCTGGGGGCCATTTTGTTCCTCCAAATAAATAAAACATGCACAACTTAAGACCAAGTGGAACCTTCATATGAAATTTCAGAAAGATCTGTCAACTAGCTGGTCTTGAGAAATAGGAATATCAAAACTCGTTTAACGAAGGATGATGAGCTAAAAATTTGACAGAACATAGGGCCAGTTAGTCAAAGTTCAACTCTTAATCAAACAGAATGTTCCTAAATACTGTGTTATAAATATAAATAATATTGGAAATTATTTCTTTTTTCGAGCAGTCAAAATAATTAGGAAATCCAGCATTTTGCATACAATATACGGATATATATTGCATCACATCACAATACAGAATGAAATATATATTGCTGTATCGCAAAACTTTTCAAAAGCTTACTTTTAACAAGAGGCACAGAGGGCCTGTATTGCTCACCTGAATATGTTTAAAATAATTGGTATGAAGTAAAGATATAGCACTCCATGGTAGGTGCTGTAAGTACATGTGAAATTTCAGAAAGATCCATCCAGTACTTGAGATATAGCGAGAACTAACTTCAAACAGAGCCCCACCCTTCTGTCCCCTGAGAGACCACACCCCCTGCTTATACAAAATCGAGTCCCCTTACCCCAAGGATGCTCCAGACTAAATTAGGATAAAATCCCTTAATCCCTATGGTAGAAGAAGGATTATAAAGGTTTTACTTCTATTTCCCCTATTGGGCCCCGCCCTCTGCCCCCAGGGGAGCCACACCCACCGTTTATACAAAATTGAGTCCCCTTGGCTGGACGACGGACGTTGCGGTATGGCATAAGCTCACCATGGTTCTTCGGACCAGGTGAGATAAAAATTAATACCTATGCTATGTTAGGCGTTTTGACTTTGCAAATTTACGGTACAACCTTTCAGATGTATACCAATAACCATGAACAGGCTATTATCAGTTGTGGGAATCAGTTGAAATTTCATAACTAATAGTTCGTGTTGCTACAACGAAATCTAGAATTATAATTTGCGTGAACCATATGATATATGATTCATTTTGATGACATGATGACAACAATGTCTATTTACATTAAACACCTTCTTCCTATGATAATTTATCAGAATACGTATCACAATACATTCCGCTGTAATGCGATCATTCTCGAAATCCAGGGGTTACGCTCACTTTCGCTCTCTGCACACCTGGAATATATGTCATAGCAAAATCGAAGGTTTAATCTGCGCTACTTTGTTGACAAGGCGAGAAGACTAGTTTGATCCTTTGATGTACATCAAAAGAATCTCACAATCCTGTAACGGTAAAACTTACTGGCTTTGAAGTCATGGGTCTCTCAGATTGGTCAGATCTTTTTACCAGAGACCAATCAAATAGCTAGCCGTGTGCCATCCATTTTGCTATGACATATTCCTGGGGTGAAGAGAGCGAAAGTGAACGCAACCCCTGAATATTGAGGATGTATGGCGATACGATTCAGGCCTATTCTGACACCACAAGTTTCTTACCTTAAAATGTTGAGAACCCTTCAGCAATGTCAGTTTGTATTTCTTCTTTGGTGCAACAAAATTATAGCTTGTTTTTTTTCGTCCAGCGAATATTTCACCTGAAAAAATAAATCCTACAACTTTTGCTTTCCCAAAACACAAATAAATCCAAATAAAATAAACAAACATATCTTAGAGACTTTAAGTAAATAATCAAAAAAAAAAATCTTATCCAGAATCGATTCAGCACAAAGATGTTAAATAGAAAAATAATTCCAAGTCAAAAAATATGAGCTAGAATTAGCTATTCAGTTTATACAATCATATATATAAAAACTTGATTTACAAAGTATTTGCCTGGAATGTTAGCACGGGGGAGGGATGATTTTAATGTGGGAGAAAACTGGAGTACCCGGAAAAAAAAATCCCACTTGTTCTTTTCAAGTCTTTTTTTGTCTGATTGGGGAGTCAACACTGTCCATCTTGGTGAAAAGCGAGTGTGTTATCCACTGCATCACCCGACCACCCAAGTTATATATATGGGCATCACCCGACCACCCAAGTTATATATATGGGCATTACCCGACCACCCAAGTTATATATATGGGCATCACCCGACCTCCCAAGTTATATATATGGGCGTCACCCGACCACCCAAGTTAAATATATATATGGGCGTCACCCGACCACCCAAGTTATATTTATGGGAGTCACCGACCCCCCAAGATATATATATGGGCGTCACCCTACCACCCAAGTTATATATATGGGTGTCACCCGACAACCCAAGTTATATATATAGGCGTCACCCGACCACCCAAGTTATATATATGGGTGTCACCCGACCACCCAAGTTATATATATAGGCGTCACCCGACCACCCAAGTTATATATATGGGCGTCACCGACCACACAAGTTATATATATGGGCGTCACCCGACCACCCAAGTTATATCTATGGGCGTCACCCTACCACCCAAGTTATATATATGGGTGTCACCCGACCACCCAAGT